GTCCAGTGATGAGGCCTCTCCGCATCGCCATGCTCGAAGAAACCTTGATTCTAATGAAAGCTGTTTTGTAAAAGTTGACATTCCCGAATTTGAAGAAATGAATCAGCCTGATGATTTCATAGATTGGATTCTGAATGAGTTTTTGATTTCGAAGACATACCTGATGATCGAAAGGCGAAGTTGATTGCTATCAAATTGAAGAAACATGCTTCAATTTGGTGGGAACGCCTTAATAGACATGAGCCCACGATGGAAAGAAAAAGTCACATGGGAAAGGATGAAGGAACAAATGAGGAAATTTCATCCTAAAAATTATAGACAGGATGCCTTTATTCGTGTCCACAATTTTACACGAAAAGAACTCTCTGTAGAAGATTACCCTACAAAATTCGAGTATCTTGTGGTACGATATGATATTTCAGAACATGAAGAACAAACAATTCCTCGTTATCTTGGAAAACTTAGAACTGATATTAGCAATGTGGTCCAATTACAACCTTATTGGACTTTCAATGATGTATATAAACTCGCACTCAAGGTGGAATGCCAACTAAAATCTAAAGAAAACAATTCTCGCTATTCAACCAAAGTGGTTGCTTTTGTTCTTCAAGCCATGGGAATTCTGGTATCTCTCCTTCAATTAAACCTTTTAAGAAAAGTTCAACCCCTGGGCAAGATGGTAACATCTTTCGGCAAACCAGTTCCAATAGTAAAGGAGCCATTCGTTGTTTTAAATGTCAAGGGCTTGGTCACATTGCTTCAGATTGTCCCAACAGCAAGATTGTCTCACTTGTCGAAGAAGATGAAACACAACAAAAAGATGAAGACTCCTCACACAACACAGAAATTTCAGAGGCTGAAGATGAAATTATTTATGCAGATCAAGGAGAATCATTGGTAATTCGCTAAATGCATCCAATGTAAAGGAAGATAATTGGCTTCACAGCGATATTTTTCACACAAGATGTACCTCAAATGGAAAAGTTTGCAATGTCATTATTAATGGTGGGAGCTGTGAAAATGTGGTAGCTACGACAACGGTGGAGAAATTTCATCATGATGTGGAGGAACACCCACAAACTTACGGGGTACTTTTAAGTTTGACCAAGTCAAAGGACCTAAATTTCACTTTGACTTTCAAAATCATGAATATTATGACATTGGCCTCTTGTATGGTAAAAGACAAAGATGCCCTTAAATGTTTTGTACAATTACAAAACAATATATTGTTGAAAGGACTATACTACACTTTTAGTTAATAATTGAAAACTAAACACTTCCCCACTTATAAAAACTTCAAAACGAGCTTCCAACACAGGAAAAACTCTCATCTGCTTGAACCTCAAAATCTAGAAAACTTTGAAACGTTGAAGTCGAAAATTTTTTTCATATCAATTACTTCAAATCGGTAAGTACATTTACGTATGTTTAATTTCGTTTTCAGTAAATAAGTATATGTTTGAATAGAGAAATTTTATGTCGACATAGTAGTTAGCAAAAATTTTTTTTAACAGAACCTATAAAAAAATTGAACAAATGTATAATATTTTTCTTTAGAAAAATAGCCAAACAGTCCGCTGTTTTGGCTGTTAACAGCCAAACAGTCCGATTGTTAAACAGCCGACCGTTGGCTGTTTAACAGCTGACTTGTTCAGCTGTTAAACAGCCAATTAACCGACTCTGCACTGATTTTTGTTGGCACTGATTTGTCGGCTGTTAAACAGCCAATTAACCGACTCTGCACTAATTTTTGTTGGCACTGATTTTTTCTTATAATTAATAAATGAAGTTGATTAAAACAATTTCCTCATGCAGATATGATAATCCCCGTCTGTTATTTCGGTGATTTCGAATTGAATAAAAATAATCGGTGGGAATGGAGATGGACGAGTGACATACGTGGTTGTATTGCAATTCCCATAACAGAGAGTACACCATACTTAGAAATGTACCACGATTTGCAAAATAAGCTGAATGTCAATCAATCTCAATACGATATGCAATTGAGATATCTATTCAACGGTTATGGGGATTCATCCATTCCGATGCTACCGATATTCGTTACTAATGATGTTGAATTGAATTATCTATTAGAATTGAATAAAATGCATCAGACTCCGACTGTTCTTGGTGTGACTTTAATTACGAAGGTTGTTATCGAAGGTGAACGCGAAGATTCAGATAGGGCGGATAACAATGATCGAGGTTTTTGGGAAAGAGTGGAGATAGTTCCTGTGTATGATGTGGGTATTCCTGAAACAGTTGCTTCTGATCGTGATGTCGCTGTTACACGTAGAATTCCGTCGACAGTTAAAGACAATGAGAATATAAACGAGTTTACAAATGAGAATTTGATTGCTTTATCCCGACAGACACGAGCCGGGTGAGAGCTCACAGGTTGGAACAAGTGGACCGTCCTCCAATTCTTCCCGTGTGGCTCCCAATGATGAGGACTTGTAGGTCGAGCAACTGTTTGAAACCAAGAAAGATTTGCAAGAAGCTGTGCACCGGCTGACATTAAAATATAACTTTGAGTTCAAGGTAAAGAAATCAAACAAGTCATTGTTGACAGTTGCTTGCGTCGAAGACAGTTGCAATTGGCGCTTGAGAGCAACTAAGATGGACACGAATGAGTGCTTCGTAATTCGCAAGTATTCACGGGAACATACTTGCGAAGTGGGAATTCTTCAAAACAATCACAGGCAAGCTTGAGCATGGTATATTGGTCGACAGATAATGCACAAGTATCAGGATCCACGGACGATCTATAGACCTTCGGACATCATTAACGACGTCCGTCGAGAGTACGGAGTGGTCATGAGCTACTAGAAAGCGTGGAAGGCCAAAGAATGTGCGTTGGAGGATTTAATGGGATCGGCTGAAGAGAGCTATGCTAAATTGGCTAGGTATTGCCATAACATGGGGACAACTAATCCTGGCACGGCATTTTTTATTGAGACGGGGGGCGATAATTGTTTTAAGTATTTTTTCATGGCTCTCGGACAATGTATTTGGAGTTTTCGAAATGCAATGCGACTCGTAATTCTAGTTGATGGTACAACTCTGAAAGCTAAATATCAAAGCAAATTAATTATTACTACATGTCAAGATGCCAATATCCAAATTTAAGGGTCGCGTGTCAAGATGAGTTAAATTTGGATGTTGGCATCTTGACATGTAGCAATAATTAATTTGCCTTGATATTTAGCTTTCAAAGTTGTACTATTAACTAGAATTACGGGTTGCATTGCATTTCGAAAACCCCGAATACATTGTCTAAGAGCCATGAAGAAATACTTAAAACAATTATCGCTCCTCGTCTCAATAAAAAATGCCGTGCTAGGATTAGTTGTCCCCATGTTATGGCAATACCTATCCAATTTAGCATAGCTCTCTTCAGCCGATTCCATTAAATCCTCCAACGCACATTCTTTGGCCTTCCACGATTTTCGGTAGCTCACGACACTCCGTGCTCTCAACGGACGTCGTTAATGATGTCCGAAGGTCTATAGATCGTCCGTGGATCCTGATACTTGTGCATTATCTATCGACCAATGAATCATGCTCGAGCTTGCCAGTAATCGTTTCGAAGAATTCCCACTTCGCAAGTATGTTCCCATGAATACTTGCGAATTACGAAGCACTCATTCGTGTCCATCTTAGTTGCTCTTAAGCGCCAATTGCAACTGTCTTTGACGCAAGTAACTGTCAACAATGACTTGTTTGATTTCTTTACCTTGAACTCAAAGTTATATTTTAATGCCAGTCGGTGCACAGCTTCCAGCAAATCTTTCTTAGTTTCAAACAGTTGCTCGACCTGCAAGTCCTCATTATCGGGAGCCACACAGGAAGAATTGGAGGACGGTCCACTTGTTCCAACCTGTGAGCTCCCACCCGGCTCGTGTCTCTGTCGAGATAAAGTAATCAAATTCTCATTTGTAAACTCGTTTATATTCTCATTGTCTTCAACTGTCGATGGAATTCTACGGTAACAGCGACATCACGATCAGAAGCAACTGTCTCAGGAATACCCACATCATATGCAGGAACTATCTCCATAGTCTCCCAAAAACCTCGATCATTGTTATCCGCCCTATCTGAATCTTTGCGTTCACCTTCGATAACATCCTTCGTAATTAAAGTCACACCAAGAACAGTCGGAGTCCAATGCATTTTATTCAATTCTAATAGATAATTCAATTCAGCATCATTAGTAACGAATACCGGTGGCATCGGAATGGATGAATCCCCATAACCGTTGAATAGATATCTCAATTGCATATCGTATTGAGATTGATCGACATTCAGCTTATTTTGCAAATTGTGGTACATTTCTAAGTATGGTGTACTCTCTGTTATGGGAATTGCAATACAACCACGTATGTCACTCGTCCATCTCCATTCCCACCGATTATTTTCATTCAATTCAAAATCACCGAAATAACAGACGCGGATTATCATATTTGTATGAGGAAATGATTTTAATCAACTTCATTTATTAATTATAAGAAAAATCAGTGCTAACAAAAATCAGTGCAGAGTCGGTTAATTGGCTGTTTAATAGCCGACTGTTGGCTGTTTAATAGCTGAACAGTCGGCTGTTAAACAGCCAACTGTTTGGCTGTTTTTGCGCAGGAGAATACGGTTCTAAAGAAAAATATTATACATGTGTTCAATTTTTTTTGATAGGTAAGATCTATTAAAAAAAATTTATGCTCACTATTATGTCGACATAAAATTTCTTTATTCAAACGTATACTAATTTACTGAAAACGAAATTAAACATGCGTAAATGTACTTACCGATTTGAAGTAATTGATATGAAAAAAATTTCCAGCTTCAACGTTTCAAAGTTTTTCTAGATTTTGAGGTTCAAGCAGACGAAAAGATGAGAGTTTTTCCTGTGTTGGAAGCTCGTTTTGAAGTTTTTATAAGTGGGGAAGTGTTTGGTTTTCAATTATTAACTAATAGGGTAGTATAGTCCTTTCAACAATATATTGTTTTGTAATTGTACAAAACATTTAAGGGTATCTTTGTCTTTTACCATACAAGAGGCCAATAAAATGAAGTAGCTGTAGTGATAGATATACTGGGGGCAATAAAATGAACACTCCGTATAGAAGGATGACTAGCAGATTGAGTAAGCACCCCTGCCGTACTCTACTGTCGCTTCTGATTTCTCTTAACTGGTGCTCATCTCTGTCGGGTCTCAATCACATTCTCCTTCTCCTTGCCCTTATCCTTGGTCGAAGTAGGCCTAGTAGTAGGATCAACAACAATCTAAACAGTAGGAGGCGATGCAGGATGTGAACCTTGAGAGCAATTCTCGTCCAAGTGACCAAAGTGTCTACATCGAAAGCAGAAATCTGGAACTTTTTCATAAATTACCGGCTGCCAATATCCTCCCCTCTTCTCCCTCTCTATCCACACTCTATTTGGGAGTTTGCATTCTAAATCAACCTCAATACATACCCTCGGTTGACTAGGTCGCCGAAGATCAGAAGTAGCTTTGTCAATACGAAGCGGAAGCGCAATAGCCTTAGCTATGGCAAACAGTGCACTCTTAGCTCAAAAATGAATAGGAAGTAAAGGAATTGAGACCTAGATAGGAGTAATAGGAACTTCTTACTGTGGGCTGAAACTGAGAGTCCACTTTATAATTCTCATAGGACAACCATCAATATTCCAAGTGGGTTTGAGGATTAACCGTGAATAGTCATTCTCGTGCATCATATGGATAATAATGTGTATACCTTCAAAAAGTCCAACTCATAATCACCAATAAAACCAAATTGCAAAAAATTCTCATGTACCTTAATCATCAACGGTTTGCGGCAAATAAATTTACCTGCAAGTGTAAATCCGTAGGCCTCAGCTAGAAACTGCTCTTCTGATTCGTAAAAAAAAAAAAAAAAGCAGGTTTTTCCGTGATGGATGTTTGGTTCTTTAGAAACCAAATTGTGATCTCTGCATTTCTGGGGAGCATGAAGTATAATAGCAAATGATTTCCTCTTACTCTTTTCAGCCTGAGAAATAGTATGTCTGTTATTGAGAACTACAGCATAAGAACGTGGGCCTTGAGTAGTACCTTGAGCACCCGAAGAGGTTGAATGTAATCTAGATGAGACCGCGGCTGTCAAATTGCCCGAGGTAGGCTGAGCATGAGGGCCACGTGTAGGCGGTCTGATAGTGCGTGAGATGGCACATGAGCCGATGGTCGGAGGTGTACCAGGCCTGCCCAGTAATTTGGCCCTCATGAGGTTGATTCTGTGGTGCGTTTGTATGAGATGAGGCTGCAAAGTCTGTTTTGAGCTTGAGCCGTGGAGGTAGTTCAAAATTGGCTATGAGATTAGCCAAGCTATTGACCGGCGACAAGTGTTCCGAAGGTGCATTATAAGTAGTAGAATTCAATGGTGGTGGTGCCTTGCCATGGGTGACAACCAAATTATCAGAATTTGGATTCGAAGGGGGCTCCATCGCCGTGACTTGAGGATTGAAATTTGGGGTCAGTTGTTCTTCATTTCTATCAATTGGATTGTTACCTATTCTCATATGACCCTCAATTACAGTTGTATTGGTCGAATTAGGAGCAAGAACAATAGCAGAAGGCTCAATTAGATCTGAAGATTCCTCATCGCGCACATGGGCTTGGTTTGAAATCAATTCCAGGTTTGAAGTGTTAATTGGCACAATTGGATGATTACCCATGGCTTTTCCATCAGTAATTGAAGATTTGATGGTCGAATTGATAATTTGCAGCAACATAGAACCATCAAAATCCTTAGTCCCGAAATTCTCGCATACGGCTCTAATTGCACCCACTAATTCACTGATTTCTGGAGGAAATTGGGCTTGAACCATGGTTGTACAGGATGTGCCAGGTGGAGAGCAAGCTAGCCCATGTGATCCTCCAGCCTGGGTTGACCGGACGGCACCGAGATTAGCCATTTTCGACCATGGTTCGCTGCCTGCGAGATCGCGAGTTGCTGCTGTTCTGGAATTTATTTCAGTTGTTGATGGGTTGTTTGGGCTCTATTAGAACCATTCTTGGAGTAGGCATTGAGTGGGCAATCAACCTGTATTGGGTTTCGATTAAGGTGCCGACCAGAAGTGGTGGTTTCGGCAGTTTTATGCTGCGAACTGTGTTGAGCAATTCTGGCTGAATCTAATGGTTTTATGGGAAAATGAGTGGTGGGAATTGAAGAGGAGGTTAAGTGCTTTCGATTGTACCAGTGTCCGGCAGCCTTGGTGGCCAGAAGTGGTCGAAAATTTGCTCCATAGCGATGGCCGGAAGTTACTTTTTTTCTCTTTAGTTAGGCTGTGCTGCTTACCCGTTCAGATTTTTGGATCCTTGGCCAATTCTTCATTATGTTAAACCTCCTTGGAAAGAAACATCTACTCTCTCATCCAAAAAATAATTTTGAAAAAGAGAATAAGGAGACTTGAGGGTTTTGTTTTGATTCCTTATTGTGAGAGTCAGTGTCCATTGCATTTTGGTACATTTCATGTAGTTGAGTATATTTCATTGTTTTCGGGGAAATATAGCCTTATAGCTTAAATAGAAGGTTGATTTTCCAAATTAGCCTAAGAAATAAAAACATTTGAAAATTAGTCTCCAAACAACTAATTTTCCAAAAATACCCTTAATAGAGAAATTGCAACCAAAGCCATTACAATGTCTAAAAATCTTCAAATAAGTCCTCAAGAAAATATAGATCATAAATTTTTAATAAATCTAGATCCAAATATTATACAAAATTTTATTGATCTAAAAATCTATACAGAAAACGAATTAATCTATCTAGAAGAAGATCTGAAAGACTTCTTTATAGAATATTTAGACCCAAAATTGCTTAGCTCGACACGGGCCAAAAAATGTTCGACTTAATTTTGCTCGATCCAAGCTCAAGCCTTGAGTTTTGGTTCACAAGCCGGCTCGACTCAACTCATTGACATAGGTAGTTTTGTCGCACTTTATTATAGTTCGTGATTTATGGCACAATCTGTGCAGTTTGAACCATTTTTGCGCTTTTGGCAAATTCATATATATTTTTACACATTTTTGTACATCCATTGCCTCTCGTTACATATTGGTATTTTATGGTAGATGTTGAACATTTTGGTATGGTTTGGCATGTTTTAGTACGGTTCGCACCTTAAATGACAGTTCTCGTAATTTGGTAGATTGTGGAGTTAAGTGATGCTTTGTGTATATTTGTGGCACAATTGTTTGGATATTTAGTTCGTCTTGGTACATATTGGCGCTTTTAGTACATTCCGAATGACGTCTTTTCGCATTTTGGTACATTTCACGTGACTTTGTATATATTCTAGCATTTTGATACATTTTATATATTTTGGCTTATTTTAGCGCAATTCGGGCACATTGTTAAATTTTGGGACATCTTGGTATGTTTCGTAAGTTTTGGTACAATTTCGTTTGATGAATTTGTGTATATTTTCGTAACTTGCTATAGTTTATAACATTTTGAAAAATTTCTTGTACTTTTGCACATTTTGACTTGCTTTTGCAGTTTCTGAACATTTTTAAAATTTTAGTTGAGTTGGTGCATTTTGTACTTTTTGGTACATTTCACGTATATTGATACATTTTGGCTTTTTTTGGTACATTTCACAGAGTTTGGTTCATGGTTGCGCATTTTGGTGCATTTCGAATATTATTTAACATTATGGCACATTTTGTTACTTTTGGCCTTTTACTTTTTATGAAATTTGGCACATTTTGATGCGTATCAGTAAATTTCATGCAACGATATATTTTGGTGAATTTTGGTACACTTCACGTAATTTGGTATAATTTGTCATAGTTCAATATATATGGGCTCACTTTTGTATAGGTTCGGTACATTTTAAATCATTTTGGTACACTTCAAGTAGCAGCCCGACCCGAATGGACCGAGACGTCACTATAGTAATTGTACCTTAGTCGTAGACTTACTAATTAACTATACTTTTTGTAATACCTCGAGATTCACATTATACATATGGCCAATATGATTCATGGATTTCATGCTAATTACATTGTCATTTACATCAATTTCGTAATTGCTTTCTCTTAAAACGGTGCATTCCATTATTGAGGCTTTAAAATCTTTACATGGTGATAATCTTCGGCTCCTAGACCTAGTTGGTGAATTTTACATTGAACTATGATAGAAAATTTGGTTAACTAGATGCTGGAAATTGGTTTGGTAAGTAATGGAAAATCGAGAAGGTCAGAAATTAGTATCAACAAAGGTTCAAGCTTTCAATTCGGTTGATCAAAGTCACCCTAAACCCTACATAGGTAATTGACATATTTGGGACATGAGGCATGAAGTGACATGATCACAATGCAATAATATATGTCTCATATGATGTTAAAAATATTGAGGTACGAATTGTTGAAATCAATTGACAATCGAGTGTCAATCAGGTAAGAAATTAAATGAACGGTTGAGGAATTAGCTCTATAATATATTTTGGGATTTTAGGGCAAGTGAAATGGATTGTAAACAAGTCAAAATAAGCCAAGAATACTTGATTTGTACCTGCAAAGATAAATATAAAATTAGATTATACTACAAGTGACCACCTCATGCTTGAACACCTCGTGCTTGGGATGTTTGTCATTTTAACACTCAATTTCTTCAACCTTAAGACATCAATCTCGTCTCTACTCCCTAAGAAATTAATATAGGATGAATATATATCTTAAAGGTCATAAATGGATACAAAAATAATGGTAGAAAAGTAAAGTATTGTAGCCAAGATGACAGCTCCTGCTTATTACTCACCAAGGTTGCTTGACGTGGTTGCATCCCATAATATCCCTAATCCTTAAGTAATATGCACGACCTCAACTACTTAAAGACCACCCATTTACCTCCTAGATAATATATTAACTCCCTTCGCTCGTCTCTAAGTGATTCCAAGTGAAAAAGAGGGTGAAAGAGTTGAAGAGAAATAGAAACAAGAAGCTGAAATTTCTGGACAGCTTTGTTTCTTCACAGTTTTGAGGTTTGTATCCATTATTTCTTAAGGGGTTTATAATTTCTTGAACATCTGAACTTGTTTGTGATTAGGTTGGAGTGTTGTTAATGATTTTATGATGCCTAAATAGTGTTGGGAATCTACTTAACATGCGCAGCAGAAAATTAAAATAATTTTTGATTCCCATGAGAATTCATCTTTGTGTTTAGATAGAAATTGTGATAAAAGTCATATCTTTTAAAGATTTGCAAACTCCTTTTCTTTTTCCTTGTTCCAGTAGCTTTGACCTGCCACCGATAGCTGTCCAATTGTCAGCCTCCAAAGGTGATCTACATAGAGAACAAGATTGCAGGATTATGATTTTCTTCTTGTGCTCGGAAGAATAATCAATTCTCTACAGATTTGTAAACTCTAATAACTTATTTATATGAGCCCAAACGGGTCTGGCCTGACCCGGTCCAATATTTAATTAACTCATTTAATTAAATTCGGTCTGTGAATTAATTAATCCAATTAATTAATTTAGACCTATAAATAAACAACCCAATTAATTAATTTATCTAACGCTTGTTAAATTAATTAATTAATAAATTGCAATCTTCCAATTCTCTTTTGTGTGTGATCCATCAGGTTCCCGATCACGATGCCCATTGATGTGAAATATTATTTTGATCTAATCAAAATTGATAAATTAAAACACTATTTTAATTTATCATCAATTCACACTCGTCGTCCCAGATTGACATCTAGTAATGTGTCAGAGCAATACATGTAACGAAAAATGTCATGTGGTATGACAAAATCAAACTCGTTCGTTTACCATGAAACTATAATCCTTTCGTAAATATGATCCTATCAATTTACGAGATATGGAAGTGTGTCAATCTCAATTACCGATCATATCTTTCACTCCACTATTAAGTCAATATAAGTCCAAAACTCCTTTTCGACTTATGAGTACGCCTTGACTAAGGATTTCATTATTGACTTAATTGAATGAAATGCAGATCATAATATCTTATTATCTAAGAGTGACGAATCCTCGATTGGTCATTTGCAACCTTTATACGGTTCTTGACATACCCGAATGATGCCGTATTAGCGGCCCTTAGCAGAGCAAGATCTAACATCGCCAAAGTATGACTGTCCTCATATAAGGCACCATGATGACCTTAAGTTAAAGGACCAATTCTACTACGGAACGTTAGAGATTAACCACTGACGCTCAGATAGTTATCCATGTGGAATCTCTGTGGGTCTCCAATGTTTTGTTCTATAACAAAACATCCACGTGCTTATTTAAGTATCGCAACACTTTAACTTGTGAGATCAGCTACTTGCTTCACAAGTAGGAAATGTCACACGTGATGGTCTATCCGTAATAACGATATCCGTATCTCGTTATTACTTACGGCCACGGATGACTTAAGATTCAACATATGTAATTTGTATCTCACAATCACAACTTCTTGTCATTAACAAATTATGAAGATTTAAATCTACAGACTCTATTATTTAATTTAATTGTCTATTTATTAAATAATAGATCTGCCATTAAATAGCATTAATTATATATTAAAAGAATTTATGTCCAAGGTTGATTTGACCTAGGGCACAACACTTACAAATAGGGATAACTAATTATAAGAATTTGAAAGAAAGTAATCTAGCAGGGATGAGGATTTGCTAGAGTTGAATGTTTAAACTTTGATTTTGGATAATACTTAAGATATAACTTGTATCTATGTAAATGAATGTTGTTATATGAGAGTTATAAGAATAGAAATGGTCTTCTAATAGCCTGAAATCTGATTGGTGACATGCTAGTAAAATGGAAATAAAAAACAGTCAAAAGAAAAGAAAACTGCCTGATTTGGCGTGGTGACAAGGGGACAGTTTTTTGAGGCTGAAAACACTTCATTTGTCAACACTTTAGATCATTATTACCTTCACATACATGTTATAGAAGTGTGGTAAAAATTTGGGAGTCGTTGAATATAGTTAATGGTGTGAAAAAGGATTAGAAAAATAATTGGACGGTAATAGAAATCTGAAAACAGATTTTGCCCATTTGTGTTTTTTATGTGATTTCAACCTTTACATATCTATTAATTATCTCTTGGCCCTAGAAAATAGATTCTAATGAATAATAGGTTGTCGACAATAATTGGATGACGTTGTTCATAATTGGACTCGAGAAATAGCAAGACTTATGAGATTAGTTTGTAATGCTATCAGTAACTTGAAATAATGATTTCATCTAAATTGTTTTGGCCTGAATGGACGTATTTTGGGATTATGTGTGTTATGGTTATTAAATGGAGGATTGTCTTTAATATTAGATGGTAATATAAGTGATTTTTTGATGTTGAGCGAAAAAGGAAATTGATATACACTCCGTAGGAGCTTGCACACATAAAAGCGAGGTAAGTAAAAATCCATTTGCAACTACGATGCAAGAGCCTAGTATTGGTGATACGGTAATGTTGGAATAGTTACATAACTTTGATAAGAGGTTTATTGCTCATCATATGATGGTTATGATCATTCAATATGA